TTGGGCGTATATTTTCTAAAAACAACTATTGCAAATTTCAAAAGACCTGTGATTAGGTCATTTGGAACAGAATCACGCATATAATCACATATTTGAATACACTTAGTAATATTTTTGAAAGTGCTTTCCCCATAACCAGAATCCGGAAAAAGGTAAGGAAACCTTGGATAACGAAAGGAATCAAAATATCAGCCAAAAATATGCGCTCATTGAACTACATTAAAAAGTTTCATAAAATAGAACACCTACAAAATTATTGCAATAGGTACAGAAGTGTATATACTAGTGTCATAAAACAGGTTAAGCTTTCATATTATGATACCAGGATTAATGAATTTCACTAGTTCGGACTTCCATTGTCTACTATATAAAATGATTTGAAATCCCTGAAACGAGTAAAAAAGAATAATTAAAAAAGAATAGTTGAAAAATAACAATTATATTAAGCAACAATAAACCTGAAATGAAATGATAGTGAAATAATGATCCATCAAATTACAGACCAATATCCCTCCTATCTACTATTGCAAAAATCATAGAAAAATTAGTAAAGAAGCGACTCATGTCATTTGTCATTAAACATAAAATACTAAATGGTAACCAATACGGTTTCCAAACCAACAAAAGTACAAATGACGCTATCTATAAATTTTTAGAAAACGTGCACTGATCTTAATAATCAAGAAGCGCCCGCGGCGGTGTTCTGTGACATATCTAAAGCTTTTGATTGTGTGAATCACGGAATACTGCTGCTGAAGCTTGAGCACTATGGCGTCAGAGGCATATCTCATAAATGGATGACATGTTACTTGCAAGACTGGGAACAATATGTGACAGTTTCGGGTGCAGTATCGGTGAAAACAAAATGATCAGCGGAGTTCCACAAGGCTCTGTCTTGGGACCCATAATATTTTTGTTATATGTAAATGATCTCTCAAATAGTAGGTTCACTTTATTTGCAGATGATGCAACTATAGAATGACACACTAAAGATAAGAATACTCTCAGCCAATTGGTCTCTTTAGATCTAACTGAAATGAAAAGGTGGTGTGATGCCAATCAAATGGTCTTCAACTCTAAAAAAACTAAAGTGTTATCATTTAAATGGGACATCGACAAAATACAACTAAATAATGATACACTCATGAAGTCTGAAAATTATAGATTCTTAGGTATTGTAATGGACCATAATTTAAAGGGTGATGAGCATATTATGGCAATGGCAAATAAATTGTCATCTGGGTGTTGTGCTATCATAGTTATTCGAAATGACATCGGTTATCTTATTGGTAGAAAATCCTACTTTGCTCTCCTGGAATCTCACATCAGATATGGGATAGCCTGCTCACAAGCGTTGTTGCCAATGATCTTAATGCTACAAAAGAGAGCACTGAGATACATATGCCATGTTAATCACCAAACTTCATGTAAACCCTTATTTATATCTCAGAGGAAACTCACGTTAACATCAATCTTCGTGATAGATCAACTAGTTTAGTTCATAAGCATAAACTACTTTTATTAAAATCTGACACTGCACATAATATTGGGGCAAATGGCCAATATATACCTTTAATAATCCCCAGAACCACCCAATGCCAAAATTCACCGAAACAAATTGAAAAAATTCATAGCACTCCGAAATTCAGGAGATCTTTTTTAATAACAAGACCCTTTTATGATTTTTAGGGAATTTTTTGAACAAAATTCTGAATAGATGTGACAGCTGTACAAAAAAATATGAAGTATCCATGTCTCTCACTAAATAGTGTCAAGGGTAGGTGTGTATGTATGAGTATATATGTATGTATTTATTAACTGTCTGTATTAAGAAATCAAAACATTTTATAAAATTATTATATGTGTGTACTTGGGTCTATATGTGTGTATGTATATATGTGTATATATGTATGTGTATATATATGTATATATATTATCATAATGTTTTTATCATCTGACAACTCTGTCCTGTTTTGTATTTATAACCAATTGATATAGAATAAATTAGGGAAAACTGTTTTTATATCCGCTTTACTGTATTGTTGTGGAAATATTTTATAGTAGCATGATTGAATATATACAATAAGTACATCCACTTTTAACATCAGACAATCCATATTGGTTTGCATAATTCTAATTTTATTTAATTATCATGACCTCCTGCTCATTTTGAGCAGTTAGGATTTAAGTACTATTATATTTAGAAGCTTTGTCAATGAGAATTCTATTCTTCAGATAATAAAGCATGCTTTGATTTGATTTGATCTCCAGCGATTTAAATCCAGCGTGAATCGTTCTTAGAGTGCCTCAAGGATTTTCCTGCAGTGCTTGTGTTTTGTTCTTAAAAAAACCTTCACGTGAAAACGAGAAACTTCTTCTTGGATGGAGATATAGGGCCACCACACCATACAACTCCATTTATCATTTCAGTATCTGAGATATTCCAGGATACTCTCAAACGTTCCAGACTATTTTCAAACATTGAAATCACGTGTCATTGTGAAATGATACGGGTTCTCAGATCATTTTCAGCTAGTTAATAATAATTAGCTGAATTAAAGAGAGTATCAAGTCATTTTATATTTCGTGAAATGTATGCAATTCAACTTTTATAATATCAAAATAATAAATGAAATCGTCAGTTGCATTTTTACTGGGGTTAGGTATCATCAAGATAGTGTTGACACTCATTGAATTCGCAAACAAAGTTAATTTTTTAAGAGCTAGTTATTCGGAAGCTTGACTGGTTTCCATATCAAAATCGTAAACTTACCACCAATTACAATACGTTTTTATGCATATGTTTTCGAAATTGACTGTTTCTGACTGGTATTCAGTGATATTTACGCTATTGAGTATTTACAGAAGGTCCAGGTCTTTTGGCACTAACTGAGCGGCAAAGAGTCTCATGCCTACGTCGTAAGACGTAGAAAATTCAGCGGCTATCTTTTTCTGAATGACATAACAATTTTCAGTCACCATTTCCTTTACTTAAGAGATGTTGAGTTCACTTGAGTATATTGATGGCCGAACGCAGCGAGGCAGATCTTTCACCACATCTCGACTGCTTTTTAATGCACTGTACCACTCATAAGAACGTGTTTTTTGATAAAGTCGACTTACCGTAAGTCCCATACAAAATTTTCAGCTCTTTGGCAAAGAAAACTTTGCAATGCAGAATCTAACAACACGTTTGAGGTGGATTAATAAATTGAGTATTGTAAACAAACAAGTGAATGAGGATATAGAGCCCGCTGTGCCCACCTAGCTAGAAAAATAATTCTTCTTCACGTGGGCTTTTTGAATTTTCAATTTCTGGTACTATTTCGACATTAGGTTGAAGTGACATTATTTGTGTTATATTAATATGATACTGATTGAAATGGAAGTGATTAATAATAACAAATATAACTTCTCAGACAAAAATCGCTAAATGTGAGTGTTCAAGGTTGTTAGTACTGAGCTCGAAATTTTTTTGTGTTTATAATTGCGCAACAAAACTCAATTTTACATAAAACACATTCAATAGTAAGCACCAAACACATTTAGTGCTCCCAGTGAGACTCCTTTTGATACATTTTCGTTTGTAGGAAGCATCACTTCACGATCTGCTTGAAAAGAAAATATTGTAGATTGGAAGGGAAAAACGGGGACTCACAGTAGTGAACAGTTAGTGAATACGAAAAATGGTAATATGGAAGGTGATGAAACTAATAGTCGTAGATCTCTGAGACCCCGTGATAAAATTAGGGCACCTGAGCGATTAATTATGGCAAATTAATCCTGGGTAGCCTAGTGTTTGTTGTTAGTTATTGCAACTTATTACTGTATAGTGTAATGTTTCAACTTAGGTAAAGGGGTGTCATATATTAATAATAAAACATAGATTTTAGTTTCCAGTCCTGTATATTAAGATCTTTTTGTACACGAATGTTTTTCATATAGACTTGCTCTAAAAACGCAGTCGAGTACTTACCGTTGTTGGAGATACAATAAAGTGGTACCATATAGGAAATATCATTTTTATTTGCACGATAACATAACAATTGGCGACGAGGACATTTCGCAATCCGCGCAAAATCTAGTGAAAGTGT